CTGTAATTGTTGTGTAGAGCACATGTTTCTTCTCCCAGAGGCTAGATTAGGGGATGTGGCAGGGCAGAGAGGCAAACCTCACAGAGTAAGGATGGCTGAGAGACAGATAAGGAATCCACCAAGCAGGAGAGAAATGGAGACCTGCTCTCATGTGGGCCAGGGAGGGCGTGAGGCCCTCAAGTAGGAGCCGTCCTAGAGTAGGTCCAAAGGACCTACACCTGTGCTGACCAGGATGATGGCCACTCACCACAAGTGGCCATTTAAATGTAAATCAAATAATATGAAATCAAATGTAAAATTTCATTCATCAGTCACACTAGCCACATTTCAACTGCTCAATGGCCACATGTAGCTAGTCAGCTACCATATTGGACTACACAGATACAGAACATTTCTATTTAAAGCATAACCTAGTGGACAATGCTGACTTAGATATACTTTGCCTTTCAGCAACTCTGGGCATTTAGAAGAAAAGATTTCAGACAGTTACTGAGAAGATGGAGCAGGAAAGGAGAAGCTTGCACCCTGAACCAGGCAGAACCAAGCAGGATCTGTAGGTCTTCCCCTATGATCAGGGTAGACACACAGACATTTAGACTGAATGAACAGACAGGAGGTTAAATTGCAATGTCAAGTATCCCTCTATTCACCCTGAGAGGTGGTCTGCAAAGGCAAGGCTGAAGCCATCTGAGAAAAGACAGCTCTAAGAGAGGCAGAGTCAGAAAATTATCTGTGTGAAAAACAAGATGTGGCCATCTGCACGTGTTCACAGTAGGGGGTGCAGCATGGCTAGAGTCCTGTGTGGAGACTAGCACTAAGGGAAGGTGCAGAAGGCACAAATGCATTGTACTTCCAGGATTGCGTGGGCTGGTGTCTTCAGTGACCAGTGCAGGTGCCCAGTGCCCTGGGTGAGTATCTCCCTAGAGCTGAGTGTAGCTGGCTCCTGCTACTACTGCCCTACCCGCAGCTGAACAGCAGGTACCAGTTACTAAGTGGTACCAGTTCATTTAGTGTCACCCACCTCCCTTCCCTCTGATTCTAAAGTCTGTAGGAAACTTCTGGCCATGACTAGCATTGGGTGTTCCCATGCCTGTGTGTCCCAACTGCCAGCACCTGGAGTTCTCCTAAGTGTTCTCTTTGGCCTTCCAGCCTGCTCTGCTTGAATGCTGGAGAAGTGGGGAGGATTAATTAACTACACTAATAGAGGAATTAATGCCTCTTGGCCTTCCACGAGCAGCCCTCAATCAATGAGTGTTGGAAAATTGGAAGATAATTTTCTGGCGGGACATCTCTGAGCAATGTTTCACACTGTCTTGTGTAGTTTCCCAGCGGTAATGAGCCCCACTCATTACATACAGTAGTGCTCACAGGAGAAGGTTGCTAGTTCTGTACTCTTTATTGACTTTCTTCCCTTGCCTCTCCCCATACTCCTACCAATGCTGCCTTCTGGCGTCACCTTCCAGGAAATTGCTTCCACTGGAATCCGTGTCTCAAGGTCTACTTCTGGGAAACTAAGACAGGGAGTGTATGCAGTGACGACCAATAGGCATAGTCTGGTGCCCATGCACAGTCGTGGTGTTCATTACAAATTCATAAATCAGCATTGTCATCTGTGGATAACTGTATACTTGGGGTTCTGGTTGCCACTTCAAACTTAGTGGTGTCAAACTACAATGATCATTTATTAGTATCATCACTTGTGGTTCTGGGGGCTGACTGGGCTCAGATGGGTGGCATCTGAGACCCCATCAAGTTGGGGGTCTCTCTTTCAGGTAGTAGCTGGAGCTGGGGTCACCTCAGGGCTTTCTGCTAATGCTTGCTGCCTGGGATAGGAAGACATGAAAGACCAGAGCAGCTGAGGCTCCTGGTATTTCTCTCTGAACATTTACATGGTGTTCAGGGCTCCAAAAGTGATGGGGGGAGGGGAGCCAGGCAGCTGCTGGATTACCTTTATGACTTAATCTCTGAAATTCCAAGGCATCATTTCTGTTTCCCTAAAGCAAATAGCTCAAGCTCACCCATATTCAAGGGGAGTGTCTCTAAGGATTTGCAGATGTGTTAAGCCCCCCAGAGTTATATTCAAGGGAGCCAGTCCCCACCCTGGTTGCATTGACAAAACTGTGAAGCTACAGCCCCCAGGCTGGGGAGCAGCCCCTCACCTCCAAGGGCCTTCGAATCCCTAGAGGGTCTGCCCCATCTTCAGCTGCCTCCTCCAGTGATATCTCAGCTTCACTTCTGTCTGTAACCTAAGAGTGGCTCAGAGGCATTGGAAGGGACAAGGCCAGGGCTCCTCTAGTGTTGTACCCTTTAGAAGACAGGTAAGAAAATAATTCATTCCAGAAAGCTCTTCACCCAAAAGCATCCAAGTAATTAATTAATGAAAATAAATGTTCCCTATTCATGTTGATGAGGTTGGGCTTCTGTACTTTGTGCAGCTTTGAGGATAGAATTTAATTACTCTATTTACAGTGATTCTTTTCATTTTCCTCGTGGACTCGCAAAACCTGAGAGCAATGAATGGGAAACTTCAGGGGGATAATTTGATGTGTTTTTTATTATATATTTTTTAAACTTTCAAACAAACAGTAGTTAGCGTATGTATGTATGTGTGTGTTTGAGACATTTCATGCTGTGTTGAAATTGCTACAAATATTCCTGAAGACAGCTTTGTTGATATTATTTACCATTTTCTTGAGAAATTATTCTGTAAAATTTAGACCAAAGAATTAGAAAAGGCAAAATTAAATATACAAAGTATCTGTTAGAGGAAACATAGAAGATAGTAAATTAAGTTCAAGTAAATACTTCTGAAAAAAAAACCATTATGTCATTAATTAATGTTATTCTTTTCATTAACTGATTTGAAATTCCAGAACACATTTTGAAATTAACTGGATGTTTTTAAAAGTGGCAAATGGTACCTGGGTGGCTCAGTAGGTTACGTGTCTGACTCTTGATCTCTGTTCAGGTCATGATGTCAGGGTTTGTGAGATCCAGCCCTGAGTTGGGCTCTGTGCTGATAGCACAGAGCCTGCTTGGGATTCTCTCTTCCTCTCTGCCCCTCCTCTGCTCGTGTGCTTCTCTTTCTAAATAAATAAATAAACTTTAAAAATGGCAAATGGGTATAAAACAAAGATGCCCCAACTTTTTTATATGATAAATTCTAAGACCTTTCTCCTATAGGCTCAATATGTTTCTTCCCAGAGTTATGGTTCTGAGCTGTAGGCACAACGGCTTACAGAGAAAAATGGTTTATTTCCTGGACCATTTTGATTTCCTTTCACATTATTATTTTAATTTAATTGATTTAAACTTCTTTAATTAAAATAAATTTTGGGGCGCCTGGGTGGCACAGTCGGTTAAGCGTCCGACTTCAGCCAGGTCACGATCTCGCAGTCCGTGAGTTCGAGCCCCGCATCAGGCTCTGGGCTGATGGCTCAGAGCCTGGAGCCTGTTTCCGATCCTGTGTCTCCCTCTCTCTCTGCCCCTCCCCCGTTCATGCTCTGTCTCTCTCTGTCCCCCCCAAAAAAAAAAAAAAATTTAGGAGAATTCTTTTCTATTCACTTCTATTCATTTTTACGTATATGTTTCCTATCAAATCTTTATTAAACCTATAAATATGCAGATATTATCACAGTGTATATTTGTATTTTGTCTGTTTAGGAAACATAAGCATTTTCAAGATTGCTACCAGTCTTTGCAATGAATTGTTGATGGATAATAGTTCTTTGCACAAATTTTATATAACCCTTTCCTATTATGACACATTGGGGGTTCATCCTATTTGCCTATTACCAAAATAGTCGGGTTTGTCCCAAAATGAAGAAGGAGTTTCCTATCAGTGGTCACACGGTCACAAGCTTATTTAGGGTGTGGTGCTAACATCTCTTCATACTCAGTCTGAAAGAACTGAGCCTTCATAAGCCCACTCTACACTGTTGTAAATACAATACAAATGCTCTGCATTTGAAAATACAGTTAATGCTCAGCATTCGTGGATTCTATATTTGCTTTTAAATTTTAATGTTTATTTATTTACTTTTGAGAGAGAGAGAGAGAAAGAGAGAGAGAGAGAGAGGCTGAACAGGGGAGGGGCAGAGAGAGGGAGACACAGAATCCGAAGCAGACTTCATTGCAGAGAAGACTAGCAACTCTTCTAGAGGATTAAGATCATCTTGCAACCCTGTCAGCACAGAGCCTGATGCACGCCTCAAACCCATGAACTGTGAGATCATGCCCTAAGCTGAAGTCAGATGCTTAACCAACTGAGCCACCTACACGTCCCATATGGATTCTATACTTGTGAATTTGCCTATTCGCTAAAATTTATTTGTAATCCCCAAATGAATACTATGGCATTTCTAGTCATTTATGGACATATGCAGAGCAGTGAAAAATTGAAGTGACCTGATATACATCTTTTCAGCTTAGGCTGGACAAGGCAACATTGTCTTTTTTGTGTTTGTTTGTTTGGTTTGTTTTTGTTTTTGTTTTTGTTTTTGGCTTTCATACTGTAATAAGTATTTTTCTCATGGTCTATTTAGTGCCATGGTTTCCACGTTTTTGTACTTTTTTGGTGGCTATGGGTGGCTATGAATTCAATGTTAACTAGTCAAGATGTAGGTCAAATAAAGTGTCTTTAAATAGAAGTACGTATAAAACAAGGTTATGTGTTAATGGGTTGGCAAAAATGTGACCAGAGACTCAAAGGAACCAAACTTGTGCTCTCCTTAGATGCAATAGTTCAGTATTTGTTAACTCAGTGTTTATGGCGACTTTATAGACCATATTTATTTTGATTGATGAAAATTAGCTGTATACTGGGAGGCTTTCTCAATAAAGAAAATGAAATGAAGCCAGATATAGAATCTATCTTTCCCAATCCCTAAAAGGAATAGGCAAAAAAAGTAAAAGACTAGCAACTCTTCTATAGGATTAAGATCATCTTGCAACCCCTCTTCTCCATCCCAGTCACTATCCTGCTTTATACTGTTCTCTGCCCTAGCATGCTGACCTACAGGGGCTCCATCAATAGGGTCCTGTGTCTTCTGGTATCTTGTTGCATTAGGCCAATGAGATGCCCAGCATACAATGGAGGGCAGCAGGTGAGTGAGATCATGGCATTTGTTTCCCAGCCCTTCTGCAGGGTGGTTAGCTGAGGCTCTCTGATGTCTAGATCGCTTCCCTCATCTTCCAGCAAATGACAACCATGTGCCCTGGATTCCCTTGCACCTGCAGCACTGTAAGTACCTCCAATAAATAAACCTTCCTATAGTGAGTGTACCTCTGTTTATTGTGGGGACCCTGATTGACACACTCCCCAGCTTGTTGTATGGGGTGTAACCTTGAAACTCAAACTATAAAAGTCTCATATGAGAAAGGAAAATCTTGGGCCAGTCTTAGTCATGAACATGGATAAAAGAATTCTGAACAAGATATTAGCAAACACACCATGCACAAAAAATATTAATGGTTATGGACATAAGTGTGAAATGCTTAACTTTAAAACTTTTAGAATTTTTTGCTTTTTTTAAATTGAAGTATAGTTGACAATGTCACATGAATTTCAGGTGAAAAATTTTAGAAGTTTTAAATGAAAATACAGGAAAGTAGCTTCATGACCTTGATTTCCTAAATGAGACATCAAAATTGCAAACCATAAGAGAAAAAAATCAATACATCCACTCCATTAAGATTAAGGATTTCTTTTCACTAACATAGCATAACTGAAATGAAAAGACAAAACCACAACCCAGAAAAAGATATTTACAGTAAATAAACCCCAAAATAATTATTACTAAGGATAAATAAATCCTACAAATCAATGGAAGGCAAACAACCAAATAGAAAAGATGAGCAAAGGACTTGAACTTGAAGACTTGAAGGTTACAACAAAGTTTTGGCCTGCTTCAGCATTGGCCGCTTGTTGTGTCAGAAGATGGCGGAGTACTTATGGAAAACAGCAGTAGAGCAGGAGACCAGAAGCTGGAGCACAACAGTCTGCAGAGCCTGCATGCCTTTTATTTGCTTTCGAAATGAGACGTGATGGTTACTTAAATGGCATAGCCTGCTAAGGAGCTGGTAAACTAATGCTGCACAAGTGAAACAGCTGCAGAAAGGACAACAAAAGTAGGGCTCCTAGGTGGCTCAGTCAGTTAAGTGCCTGACTCTTGATCTCGGCTCAGGTCATGATCTCACAGTTCCGAGTTCAGGCCCCGTGTCAGGCTCTGCACTGACAGTGCAGAGCCTGCTTGAGATTCTGTCTCCCTCTCTCTCCCTGGCCATCCCCTGCCCATGCTCTCTCTCTCTCCAAATAAATAAATAAACTTAAAAATCAAAAAAAAAAAAAAAAAAAAAAAGAAAAGAAAAGAAAAAGAAATGAGACCAAAGGCTGCACGAAGGATGATGGCCTGCCAACAAACCATGCCACCCTGGGTCCCCAGGTGGAGATCCTACAGAGACAGTGAGAATGTTCTGTCTCTCGTGACATCTCTGACATTCTGAGCCTCGTGGTTTCTCAGGTTTCCTTGTCTGGAAAGAGAAAATGTACACTGAGCCTTTTGGGGCAATGCCAGCTCTGAGCCATCTGTAGTACCACCTTGTCATTGTTGGCATTCTGTGCCTGCTGCTGGCCTGCTCCCCAGGACCAGTGGGCATCTCCAGCCAATATCAGCCACGTCCTTCTGCTGCAGCCCCAGGATGAGGGCTCAGGGGCTCAGGGCTTCAGTGGGGGCTACTGCTGGTAGCCTGGGCAATGCTTCCTTGCAGCTTCCCTTGGGAGAGTACTCAAACAGGTACCCAGACGGCAGATTGCTCCTTGCTGGGATGGCTTTGAAGGGTTTCTGGTGACAGGGTGGGTCTCAAATAGATTTGCTTCTTGTCAGGGTAATATCCAGGTCAGCAGCTGGTTGAGAGCAGGACAAAGAAGAGTTTATCAAACAGTGCTTGAATGAATGAAAGAAAGAAAGAAAGAAAGAAAGAAAGAAAGAAAGAAAGAAAGAAAGAAAGAAAGAAGGTGGGAGAAGAACCCAAATGAGATCAACCCTGCTATTTACAAGGGCATATTTGTTCTCTGAGAGTTGTCACATCATCTTCTCTCAGCCCCTATGATGTCAATGGTGACAGGGATAGAGAGAGGGCAGGAGGGGGGAGATCACAGAAAATAGCCTGGAGCCCCAGGGAAGTTCTACCTGCTGCACCTCCATGGCTTCTTGGAGGAGGTTTCCCCTTCTTGAAATAGTCAACATGGCCCTGTGTACCAGGCACTATGCCAGGCACTTCTGCACCTTTTACAATAATCTGATGTATTTACTATTATATAAATTTTACAGATGAGGAAACTGAGACTCAGAAGGTAAAGCAGCTGCCAAGCAACAGTGGAAGGGCTGCCTCACATCTGACTCTGCTCTGCATCTCTCCGACCCCTCATAGCAGCTCCAGACTCCACAGTGAGAACAGAACTGACCAGCCTGGATGTCTGGACTCAGCCTGGCTGGGTAGGGGATGGTCTACTTGGCTATCTGTCCTGGAACATGCCTGGCATCCTAGGGCATGGATTCTCACCTGCTAGATGACCTCCAGGTCCCTTCCTGCTTTGGGGAGCAGTGGCACTACACTTCAGGTTTCCAATCAGAAGCATATCATGATGAACAATGTTTTGACCAGGCTGATGAGTGGTCTATGCCAGCCCAAGGGAGTTGGGATCAAGGAGGAGCCTAAGAAGTTCATCTGGGGTGGAGGGTCAGGAATGATAAGATAAGATGGAGGAGTGGATTAAAAACCACAGCCAGGAAACTCCCCATTTCCAAACTCCTCAGCCCACACAAGCAGAACCTTACTGTCTGCAGTGATAAGACACATTCTCCCTCTATTTCCTGCTAATTTTTCCCTGGGAGCAGCCTGACAAAGAATTTCCAAGCCTGGTTGGCAAAAGACAAAACCAGGAAGTTGTGCAGCTCACAGATAGCTCCCCATACATTCCCACCATGTTAACCACAAACCACGCAGCTGTAGGCTGATGGAAGACAAATTCCATGCACTTGCCACTATGACTGCTCCAGCAGTGGCACTGCTACCAGGTTCATCCTGTGACTCAGAAGGCCAGGTGTTCTGGGTTCTTGGAAAGATGCTTATTCTTTCTTAAGCACCAACTACTAACAAGGTTGACTGTTTTCCTCTGGATCGTGCAGCAGCAAATGAGAAGGTGGCCTGGGCCCAGGAAGGTGGGAGGGGCTGAGGTTCAGGCCTCAATCTTCTCATACTTGCCCCTCCGTGGCTCTGGATAAGGCCAGTCTTTTCTTTGCTTTTTATATTTAATATTTTTTTTAAGTTTATTTGTTTATTTTGAGAGAGACAGAGACAGAGTGAGGGAGGGAAGGGCAGAGAGTGAGGGAAAGAGAGAGGATCTCAAGCAGGCTCTGTGCTGCCAGCGCAGAACCCAATGTGGGGCTCAAACTCACGTCCCTGAGATCAAGGCCTGAGCTGAGATCAAGAGTCAGGTGCTTAACTGACTGAGCCACTCAGGTGTCCCTAATGTACCTTTATTCCATGGAAAAAAATCAGGGTCCCTAGTTCCTCTTCTCCCACAGCTGTAACCAGGCAACACAATTTCCTATTATTTGATGAAAGTAAATAGATTCTCTATTGTCTCCTTGTTTAGTGGACATGACAAGGCATATATAGAGCCAGGACCTCTACCTCCCCATTATTCATGGACATAATCAAGTTTCCTGTTTAATAGAAAATAGAAAATATATATATTGGTGTCTGCCTCTGGTTCTGGCACAGAACTGAAACTCTTGTAATTTCCTAAGTGGTAAGAGAACTAAGAGCATCTTTTGTTCTAATATTTGGTCTTTACCTGGTTCCTGGCATAGAGCTCCTGAAATTTTTGTATTTCCTAGGTGATAGGAGTGCCTTTTGTTCTAATGAGGTGACTTTAGATGGGTTCCTGGATGGAGGCTGGCCATCATACAGAACAACCCATGTTTAGAAACTTGGAATTTTTAGCCCTGTCCCCCACTCTCTTGAGAAGGGAGAAGGGCTAAAAATGGAGTCAGTGATAGATCATGCCTACATGATTAAGCCTCCATAAAATACCTAAAATATAGGGTTTTGAGAGCTTCCAGGTTGGTCATCATGTGAAGGTACCAGGAGAGTTGCCCTCAAAGATAGGGCATGGAAGCCTTCCCAAATACCTTGTCTTATACCTTCCTTCCATCTGGATGTTCATCTATATCCTTTGTCATATCCTTTTATAAGGTAACTGGTAAAAGTGTTTCCTTGAGTTCTATGAACCAGACTAGGAAATTAATTGAACCCAAAAGTGGGCCATGGGAATGTCAGGTTTATAAGAAGTTGGTCAGAAGCATAGCTGACAACCTGGAATTGCACCTGGCATCTGAAGGTGGTGGTGATGGTGGGGCAATCTTCTAAGACTGATCCCTTCACCTGTTTACAGGCAGAGTGGACTAGTGTTGGAGAGAATTGCTTGTTGTGGGGAAAACCCCCACATATTTGGCAGCCAGAAATGTCAGAAAGTATATTTTGCAAGATGGAAAAGGATACTCATGGGAGAAAAAGACCATAGGGAGGAGCTGGCGTTTTCCCTACCCAGGTGGGAAGCTGAGTTTTTCCTTGTTACCTACTTTCCCTTTTTCATGGAAATATCTAGAAACCCTACTTTTCTCTAATTCCTTAGACATGAACAGGCTCCCTGTGTCCCCCTATTAAATAGATATAATCATTCCCTGTCATTTCTTCCTTATAGACTTTCATAGACTTAACCAGGTCACATGTTTTCCCCTTATTCCATGGACATGGCCATCTTTCCAATTTTCTTCTTATTCCTGGACATCTAGGGCTTCTATTTTCCCTTTATTCCATGGGAAAGAGTGAGACCCCCATGCCCTTCCTTGTTTCACAGACACTATTAGGCTTCCTATTTTCTTCTTCATGCATGGGCATATCAGGTTCCCTGTTTCCCATCTTTTGCATACTCACATTCCATGGACATGGCCAGGGTCCCTATATTCCCCTCACTACATAGACATAGTCACTATCTCTATTTTTTTCTTTTTATATGGACACAATGGGGCTGCCTATTTTCCTTTCATTCCATAGATATGGCCAAGGCACTCTGCTTTTCCCCTATTCTATTGATATAACGAGGTCCCCTACTTTCCCATGTTACAGGGACATGCTCAGCACTGTATTTTCTCCTCAGTGCATGGATATAATCAAGCCTAATAGTTTCCTTTTCCATGGATTTATCAGGCTCAGTGTTTTTAATCTTAATTCATGAACATTTTCAGGCCCCTTATTTTCACCATATTCCATGGACATGACTAGGGTCCTCCATTTCCCCCTCACTTTATGGGCATTATACTGCTGTATTTTCTTGCAGTCTATTCTGGATATAGCCAGGCAATTTATTTACTCTTTATTCTGTGATTTTAACCAAATATCCTGCTTATCCCTTACACCACAAGCATTATTGGAATCCTATTTTCTCTTCATTCCATGGACATAACCAAAACCACCATTTCCCCCTCAATCTATGGAAATCATTTGTCCTCCTGTATTTTTCCTCTGATCCATCGATATAATGCTGGTCCCCTATCTTCATCTTATCCCATGAGTATTATCAGATCCCCTATTTTTCACTTACTCCATGGACATTAAGCATAGAATTGATGAGGCCTCCTATTTCCCTCCATTTCCATGGATGTGTTTATTTTCATTTTTCCCTTCTCCAGGGGCATCACCAGGGCCACTGTTCTCCTTCCTTCCAGGGAAATAATCACCCCTCCTATTTTCCCTGAATCCATGATGTGGAGAGATGAATAATAACCCACTATAAGATGTCCACATCCTAACTCCTGGAGCTTGTGAGCATTGTCTTACGTGGTAAAGAAGGACTTTACAGATGTGATTGAGTTCAAGATCTTGAGACAGATCATTCAGGATTTTTCAGGTGGGTCTTAAATGCCATCCATATTTCCTTATAAAAGGGAGGCAGACAGAAGAGAAGGAGGTCATATGCCCACAGAAATAGAGACTGGGGTGATGTGGCCATAAGCCAAGGAATAGTAGCATCCAGTGGATTTTCCCCCAGAGCCTCTGGAGGGAGTTCAACCCAGTCAACACCTTGATTTTGGTCTAGTGAAAATGACTTCAGATTTCTGGCCTCCAGAATGGTAAGATAATACATTTCTGTGGTTTTAAACCACCAATATCGAGGTAATTTGTTACAAAACCATGGGAAACTAATACACATGGACACGTCCATACTCCCAAATTTCTCTTATTTGGTGGACATTTTAGTGGGGTGAACTGTGGTCCCCAAAAATATATGTGCAAATCCTAGCCCCTACTACTCATGAATGTGAACTTATTTGGATATAGAGTCTTTGCAGGCCTAATTAAGGACCTTAAGGTGAGATCATATTGGATTTAGGGTAGGTCCCAAATCCAATGACTGGTATTCTTAAGGGAAAGAAGGGAGAAATCTGAGACAAAGAGACAGAAAAGAAGGCCATGTGGAGACTGGTGGAGATTGGATTTATGCTGCTATAAGTCAAAGAACTCCAGAAATGACAGAAAAGATCCCTGTTTTCTGTTTTATTCTATGGATATCACCAGGGTCTAAATATTTTTTTCTTATTCCATGGAAATTACTGGGGACTCATTTTTCTCTTACTTTATGGACGTGACCAAGGTGCATATTTCTATAAGTAGATCATTTTTTTAAATGTATTTAGCCCCATCTTCTTATATTTTCTAATATAGCCCAATGAATGTTACTTTTCCTTCCTCAGGTCCATGGTCTGATGGGCATATCTCAGGTTTCCAGGACAGGCTGCCCTTGTCCAGGTCTGAATACTCACACATATTACTCAGAATACTTATGTATCTATTTGACAATGGCACTCTTGCAGCTCTGGGTCAGAGTGTTCCAAAGCAGACACCTCCATCAGCTGGGCAAGTCCTACAAGGCAGCCTCTGAGGGTCAGGGGAGGATGTCATAACATGTCTAGTAGGATTTTCACTAGGTGGTCTGTGTTCCAGGGCAGTTGGCATGCAAATCACTATGGGCTTCAGCGTTTGGGTTCAGAGTCATGAAAGAATCACCCAGAGGATGTTTCTGAGCACTGACTGATGCCTGACCTGGGAACAGTTGTTTGCTACATGGATTTAGTCTCCACCACAAACCAAGATTAGTAGTTTTCCCCATTCTCATATTATAGATGAAGAAACTGAGACTCAGAGATTAACTGCCTCTCCTAGAGTCACCTAGCAAGGGATCTGAACCCAGGAGAGTTGGACTGCTAGGTGGTGCTGCTTCTCAAAGACAGGTCCTATTTATTTTTGAACATTTTAACCTTTATTTGAAATAATTTCAGACTTAGAAAAAGGCAACAAAAGTTGTGTGAATTTTGTTATATACACTTCATCCCACTTTCCCAAATGTTAGTATCTTTTGTAACTACAGTGAAATGGTAAAAACTAGAAAGTTACCATTGGCGCAATGCTATGAACTGATCTACAGACTTTCTTCACATTTCATCAATTGTCCCACTATTTTTTTTTCTTCAGGATCCCATTTAGGGTCCCACCTTAACAAAAGTTTTTAGAATAGGAAGCTATTACAGCCTTCTGAGTGCAGGTGATGGGGTTCAGGACATACTATGCCAAAATATGGCACCTTGGCGCATTGAAGATTTTAAGACAAAGGAGTTTTAGGAAACGGTGAAACAGGAAGGATACTCTGACCCCCTCCTTAGCCCTCCTTCCTTGAAAATAGGAGACAAACCTCTCATGTGAAAGACACCCTCCTGGTACATGGACATGGAGGACATCCTTTTCTCTGGAGACACGGAATTCAGGGTCAAGAAGCCTGTATAAACAAGCCTTATAACTTCTTCACCATTTATTACCCCTAGTCTCAACTCCATTGTCTTGTTAATTCTTCACACATTTATTATTTCCTTGTCTACAGGGTATGCAAGCATCTTGTTCTGGCCACTTCACATCCTCATTCTCTTGTGAAGTTTCCCATGTATATATAAAAGGTCAATTAAACCATGTTTTTCTCCTGCTAGTTAATTCTAAGGCCCAGCCAGAGACCCAAAGAGGGTAGAGGAGAATTTTTCTTGCTTGACATAAGTAGCACCTAACCTTCAGGGGGCCACATGATTAACCTGTGAATAAGGATCAGGGTTTATTCCTCCCTCACAGGGAGGCCAAGATTACCTCACAAAGCTCTGTTGGAGTCACACCAATATAGCAAGAGCTGGTGCCAGGGCCTGCAGGCACAGTGGGATCCAGCAGCCAGAAATCTGTGGTGAGAAAGGTGGCAGGTTAGTAAAGAAAACCTGTCCCTAAAGGAGGCACGAGGAATAGTTGATGGCCAGGTTAGACAGGTAGAGCCCACAGAAGGCAAATAGAATGTATCATGCCCTGTCCCATGTCCCTGATTCCTCATAGCCCAGTTCAAATATTACCTTCTCTATAAACCTTCCCCAATTTCCACAACTGGAACTTCTCTGTCCAATATGCTTCTTACTGCATAGCACTGTAAGGCTCTGTTTTGGGGGCTTTATTCCTCAATAGATGTGAGGGTAGGGAGAGGGTCTTGCCCATTTTGGCAAGGTGTTTAGAAATTATGCTTGTCTGAATAACTAAGGGAACCAAGCTGGTGTCATAAATATGTGGAAAATGTATGGACCTGAGAGTGAATTGGGCAACCATCCAGGGAGATTTCATGGGTTGGTCCTTTTGTTTTTCCTTTAATCTTTGTTTATTGAGAGAGAGAGAGAGAGAGAGAGAGAGAGAGAGAGAGAACACATGCATGCATGCAAGCAGGGGAGGGGCAGAGAGAGGGGGAGAATCCCAAGCATGTTTCACACCATCAGCACAGAGCCTGTCATGGGCTCGATCTCATGAATTGAGAGATTATGACCTGAGCCAAAATCAAGAGTCTAATGCTCAACCAACAGAGCCACCCAGGAGCACCACGGTTTGGTCCTTTGGTCAGATTATGGTAGAGCCTTGAAAGAGGAGGTTGGGTTCTCAATCTCCATTTAACCTGGGAAAGCCCACTTGGTGAAGACTGCTGTAGGAAGGTGAGCGAGTTACAGCCTGGCCCCAGCCCGCCCTGGCAGGTGCAGCGGATAGGAGATTTCTGAGGCTGTGAGATGGGTGTTGGATCCTGGAGGAATCCTCTGTTGCTGTTGGCTGCTCTCGTCCTGGCAGCCAGGCTGGGTCACTTTCAAAGGTGGGAAGGCTTCCAGGAGAAGTCCACGAGCGTGAAAAACATGAATTCAACCCTCAAGTTCTTCATTGAAACCTACAACAATGCTAGCAATGACACCTACTTATTTCAAGTTGACAAGCTACTTCGAAGTCAGATGCAGGTTTGTGCCTCGGTTTCTCTGGATATGGGCTGTGCCCATTTGGATATGCGGGGACATGGTATGGCTCCCAGAGAGAACCAAGTGATGGTTTCACCAAGGCAGGGGGAGGCTTCACTTAGGATGAGCATGCTTTGCAGTTGTTTGGACCCCAGAACTGCCTTAGCAATGCTTTTGAAATGCCAGCCTGAGGACTGGAATGAAACTCTGTCACTCTTGGTCTAAAGATGGCCCCTGGGGTTCTCAACTATTCTTCCTTGGGAAGAATTGCCTTTTTAATTCTGAAATTAGTCCTGCCAGAGTGACAGCAAATGAGGATGATTTTGTTTATTTTAATGGTATGCTTTGTTAAAATATAAATATTCTCTATAGGTTCCCCCTCAACAATAGTTTTTCAATGCTCAGGGCTGTAGAGTTTGGAATTTCTAGCCGTATTCTACAGAAATCCGAAATTGTACAGAGGGTTTTTTTTGGGTGGAGGGAAGAGGAGGAGTGAGGGATAGGCTTCAACCAGATCATTTCTCTTTTTATGTGTTTTGAATACAAAGCTTCTGTGAAATATATTAATCGGGAATGAGAGAGAAAAAAAGTTATTTGAAAACCATTTTTGTGGGTCCAACTGTCCCTCAAATTTACATGGTAAACTATATGTAAGTGAGGGCAGAAACAATAGCACATTTTAGTTCAATTAATACAATTTGGAAAAAAAAGATTGACAGGAGAAAAGGTATCTGGCCAGAGAGAGGGGCAGTGGGAACAGGAGGAACCAGCAAGGGCAGGGAACAGAGAGAGTTGGGCAGTGTTAGTGTGACACAAAGCATGCCTGACATCATAGTGTGTGGACATCAGCCCGTCCCTGTTTCAGTCACATACTTTTGCCCCAAGGTGGTGCTTATCAGGACCAAGAACACTGAAGTGACTTGGCCACAAGGTGGTGGCTGTTGACCAAAGATCTTGCCAAATTGGGAATCCCAGAAGGCCTGTCTTGTGGAGTCAGCCCATTATTATTAACAGTTAACTCTAAAATAATAGTTTATGAGCAAACTTTTGATGTCATTCAAATGGATGAAAGAACAGCATGTGTGTGCCCCTTGGTGGCAGTGACCTGGGTTAAGGGTCCTTTTACCACATGATTACCTCTGTCCTAATACCTTACAGAGGGGTATAGGAGGTGGGCCTGGTGGGCTGCCTGCACCCAGGCTCTAGGTCCTCCTAATTGTGGGATCTTGGTCAAATGCCACCCATACTCTCCAGGCCTCAGTTTCCTCACCTGCAAGTGGGCAGAATGAGTGAAGCAGCACTCATGAAAATAATTGTCTTACTTGATCATTCTTCTTATTATCTAGCAGTGCAGTCTAATAATAAATAAGAAAACATTTTGCACACTGAAATGTTAATTTTTTTTAACTTTTTTTTTTTTGAGACACAGAGAGAGACTGAGCGTGAGCAGGAGATGGGCAGAGAGAGAGGGAGACACAGAATCCGAAGCAGGCTCCAGGCTCTGAGCTGTCAGCACAGAGCCTGACTTGGGGATCAAACTCACAAACCATGAGATCATGACTTGAGCTGACACTTAACCGACTGAGCCACCCAGGCACCCTGCACACTGCAATGTTAGTAAAATTCATGGCCAGGGTTTTAGATTTTTCATACATACAGAGCATGATGAAGGTCCATGTGAAAGCCCTGCAGGATGCCAATGCCTGGATGGAACTGTCCTTTGATGAAGAGCTTGGAGCCCTGCATCTGGAAGTTCTTCCAGTAGCAGATGGTGGAACCAGGATGCCAACACTACCCTCGGGCCTCCTTCCCCTACAACCGCCCTGTGCTTTTCTGAGGACAGTTTCCTCCAGGGGCAGTGTGGGCACACTCTCCTTCCACTTCCACCCACCTGCGAGAGTGCCAAGGCTTCTCCTTTGGTTTGACCCAACACTGGGACAAGGAAGCAGGGAACTTCCAGGAGTTTCTCCCCTCCCCCAGGCAGAGATCTCTATCCTGTACATTGACTTGAGGGATCCAGCTATTTCCAACAGAGAACATGACTCACCAAAGCATTGATTAGAGTTTCATTTCAGGTTGTGGGTCCTCCCTGCCACAAAGGGCTTTCCCAGCCTCCCTACCTGACACTTGACTCCACTTTTCCCAGACTCCCTGCCTGTGTCCTCACAGCCTGACACTTGAACATGAGCACAAGAAGACAGATCCCAACAGCTGGGAATAACCCTGGTGTGTGTTCTCCATGGTTTACACATTCACTCTTCTCCCCATTCTCTAGATGAGAAAACTGAGTCAGGGAGGTGGCAGGGCTTGGCCAAGGAGATAGAGTTGGCAGGGGTCAAAGCCAGAACTGTAGCACAATTCTGTTATCTTCTGTTGCTTTCCCCAACTCCATTGCTGCTTCAGAGTAATGTTCCCCACACTTTGCTAAAATATTTAATAATCCATAATAAGTTATTTTAAAATTTTCTTTGTGCATTCAGCAAGAAGCATGCTTCTCTTTAGCCTAGGCAACAACTCCTTGAGCAGTCACAATTATCTGGACTCTGTAGTTGAATTGGAGGCTGCTGGGCATTTGCTCAAAGGCAAAGTGTTAGTAGGTGGGGAATGAAGGCCCCAAATCAGTTCAGTTCCTAAGCCTGTGTTTTTCAGCTCTGTTGCTAAACTTCCATTCAGGTTGGTTGGGAAGGAGAGTAGGGAGGAATAACATGGATGAAGCTGAGACAAGATGCACCTGTAGGTATTCTGAGGATCACATGTACAGATGTGGTGGGTATTCTGGACTGCTGGCAGCCAAGCTCCATGTCTTGCCTCCCTAATCCTGGGGATGCAAGGGAGATAGGTGAGAAGCCATCTGTGGCTGTAGCAGTGAAGCTGGTCCAGAGCAAGGGGCAGGGCTCTGCACATGCTGGGGATTGGCAGGGGCCATGCTGACTTGAAGAGGGAGCCATGCTTTTGGTGGATGACCTCTGGGAAGAGGGGCTGTGGTTCCTGGGGCTTTATCTCATCCTAGCCTTACTTGGAGAGGTCCAGCAAATGGATGCTTGGAGTCAATACTAATAGTGGCACTATTTCTTAGTAGCTGACGACTGGAGTGGAGTATATGGTCACTGTGAAGATTAGCCGGACCAAATGTGAGAGGAATGGCACAAGAAACCATTCATGCCCCATTCAAAACAAAAAAAAGCTGAAAAAGGTGTGTGGTGGCAGGGCCTTCTGATCAAAGGGGGAAAAGTAAAAATCTTAAAAGTAGACCAGAATTGGACATTGACAGCTTTTCCAGCTATGTGGATATGGGCAGGGTGAGGGATAGCCTGAGGGTCTCCTGATGCCACTGGAGGTGTTCAGAGGTGGGAGGAAGAATGGGCAGTCTCCCCACCTGAAGCTCGTACAGCTTTGGCCACAGACCTTCTGTCTCCTCTCCTAGTCCCATCCTGGTCCTCAAGTGGAATTGGTTTACTTTCCCTGGCGATTTACTCTGCCTTGGCTCACACTCTCCAGTCCGTGAGGATTGTCTAGTTTCCATCTCATCTTCCAACCTCTGCCCATCTTTTCTGCCTTTTCCCAGTTCCTCCTGGTGATACCACCTGCATGCTGGCAGACATGAGGAACCCTCTGTGCCTGAATGCAGGTGCAGGAGGACTGATGTCCTGCACAGACCTCATCCCCATGTCCTACTGGGCTGCAAGCGCCAGGCACACCTGTTCCAGGTCCCAAGTAACTGGGCAAGGAGCACCCATGGTGACATCCCTGTTCAGGCTGGCCCCACTCCGCCCCACAACATGACTGTGAGCAGATACCCCCACCCATGTGGTCAGTGTGCAGATAACAGTGACTGGTCCAGACTCCCCAGACAAGGGCTTGGGGCGAGGGCAAAAGCTTTTTGTTTACCTTCAAAAAGTGGTTTTCTTTCTCCTTCCACAGAGTTTCATTTGTGATTTTTTGGTGTACACTGTGCCCTGGATGAACTACTACCAACTCTGGAACAACTCCTGTCTGGAGGCTTGAATGTATCGGTGCAAAGATCTTTGATGAAAACTTAGATGGCCACCTGTGCACTTTCTATTAGACTTCTGAAAGGCCTCATTCCCTCTCAGCAGGGTCTCCACACACCCACTCACACTTGCACACAGTCACATACATGCATGTGTACTCACAATGCATGCAGACACCGGCACACTTACACATATGCAGTCTCACACACCCACACTCATGCACACACTCATATGCTTACACACTCACACTCACTCATGCACATGTTCAGTGGCCTTTAGGGGGCTGGTACAATTTGAACAGAAGGCTGTTAGCTCTTTGGAAGAAACACATAGTTTTTCTACCTTGGCACATATCTCTGAGAGTTGTGATTCTGGCACATCCTGACCTCTGGCCTGAGCTCGCAGGATCTCTGTTTCTTCCCCACACTCTCTGGGACTTGCACATCTTTGTGAGCGTGGCTGAGGTCCCCAAGTTCACTAGTCCAGTAACTCAGTAGGAGGACCCCCAGGACACAGCATACAGTTGTACTCATAGCTATGGCTTATTACAGTGAAAGGATACAAGACAAAACCAGCAGAGAGAAAAGGCTGATGGGGAGAAGTTTTGGGGAACTAGATGCAGGTTTCCAGAGTCCTCTCCTGATGAAATCACATGAATGCACTTAATTCTCCAGCAGTGAGTTGTGATAACATGTGTAAAATGTGTTTCCCAGGGAAGCTCAGCAGAGACTGAGTGCCACAGATTTTCCCTGGAGTGCACACATAGGGAGCCTCTGCCTAGCATGTGTCCAAACTTCAGACTTCCAGAAGAAAAACAGGTGTGTGGCATAAATCACATTGTACAAACAGTGTAGACACATGAAGTCCTCTCATTACTTGGGGAAAGTTTTGTATCAGTGTAGGGAACTGTTTACCATCCAGGTTCTGACACTCCAACCAAGGCCAACTTTACAAGTGGGCCTTTCCAAGGACAGCAGTCTTGACTGGCTGTGTGAACTCTTTCCTTCACAGAGAGTTCCTGAGCCGCCCATGTGCTCAATGCTGGTGGAATGAGACTTATGGGGTCTTCCCTCATGTGACTCAGTTGAGCAGAGTAGCTCTACACTGGATCAGAAATGGGGAGCAGATGTGGGCTGAGAGCTTCCTCAGGGACCATGCCCATCAGCACACTCATAATGGCAACTTGAGAGAATATTTCCAAAAGGGAAGAGTTAACACACAAACTAGAACTTCAAATTCACCTGAGAGGCTTCAGGGAGAAGGGAGAGTGGAGGTGCAGTGTTAAAGGTGGGGAAATTCTCATGCAAGAGAGAAGCCCAGAGCATCCAGCTCTGCAAATCTAATGTCATTAAGGGCTGAGTGGGTGCCTGGCATGGGCCTCCTCTCCTCACTTTCTCATTTGGTTATCATGACAATCCTATGAAATGACAACTCTCACCTCCATCTTACATGTGAATAGCCTCTCTCCAGATCCTGCCATCCTAGCTGAATTTGGCTTGTTTGTTGAATTTTTACAAATGGAATCATACAGTATATATTCTTTTGTTTTGGATTTTTTTTTCACTCAACATATTTCTGAATTCATTCACGTTGTGTGTAATTGTAGTTCACTTTAAAATTGGGTAGAATACTATTGTGTGAATATACCTAACTGTATTTATCAATTCTACTGATAATGAACTTTATGGTAGTTTCTAACTTCTAAGAATAATAGCTATTAAGAATGAACAAGCATGCTCCTGTCTAATGGTGGACATATGCGTGTGTTTCTGTTGGGTACACACCTAAGGGTGGAATTGGTGGACAATAGCAGAAGTGTGCATCCAAACATTAGCTAATTTACTCAAGAGTTTTAAAAACATTTGTGATTTTTTTTACTTAATTTACCTCTCTAATGTTACTTAATTATTGATTTAAACCTTGTTCAAGTTCTAAGTTCTTACTTTTTAAAATACATTTTAGTTATATGGCTTTTTTAGTTAATTTGTATCTTTATTTTATGTAATTTAAAATGACACTTTATTCTTTTGATAATGTTACCAAGCTTTATGGCTAATTTTTAAAGTGAACTTTTTAAAGTGAACTCTCCCTGCTCCACCCATCTGCCTTGCTTTTTTATAAGTGGCAGCTACGAAGGACAGGCACAAGTTATGCCTCTGTAATAGGAGTCGGAGTCTAGGTCCTGATGTCTAAGAGACCCAAGAGAGGTTTCCTTATAATAGAGAAGCAGAGGAAGATTTAGCAGAGACACATGGAGGAGAAAGTGTGTGAAGACAGAGGCAGAGGGTAGTGATGTGGGCGCAGCCCAGGAAAGCCAGCAGCCACCAGAGGCTGGAAGAAGCAAGGAACAGATTCTCTCCTAGAGCCTCTGGAGGAAGCACAGTCCTGCCAACACCCTTGACTTCAGACTTTGTGGCTCCAGAACTATGTAAGAAAAGTTTCTACAGTTTGAAGTCACCAAGTTTGTGGAAATTTGTTACAGCAGCTAAAGGAGGATAATACACTGGGTTTCCTTTTTGCTTCATATCTCAGACTTAGAGATGAAGAAGCTGAAAACCTGGAAATGACAACATGTGAAGATAAAAATGCCTCAGCAAAATCTTTCTTTCTCTAGCCAAAGGGCCAATGTGGGGCAGCCCATCAGGAAAGAGAGCATTTAGTCATAAGTGCTTTACTTCAGACAAACACCACAGTAAAAAAATGAGGCTCCCCTAATCTTCTCATTCCCAGCAAAGGCTGAGTAGGGAACATAGGTTTTCACCCTCTTGAGACTTTAATGAGGATCCCAATACTCATGTTGAAACGGAGTCAGAGAAAGCCAAGTAAGGTGCCAGGAATTTCACCCCATTGAGTATCAACAATCCCCACACATCCTGTGGTGATACTGGAGACCACGTGGAGAGCCTAGACTTCTGTTTCTCCCCACTGAGCTAGTGTGAGAAGAGACATGTGGGGAGTAGTGATGAGACACCCTTGCCCTTTCCAGTGAGAGTCAGAGTCACCCCAACAGAGGTCAGGGTACATGGACGCTGAACTCCTACACATCCAGCTGTGATGAGGGTTCCCCACGCCTGTTTCAACCTGACCTTCAGTCTCCACCTGGAAGTGGTGAGGTGTTGTCTCTTTTTCCTTCAGAGCACGGTCAAGGTTTGCTAAGAGAGATATAAGTGAGATCCAGAGGTACAGTATGAAAACACCCAGGTTTTAATAGAAAATCACTTGTCCTACTAAGAATGAGGGAAATGTCAACTTAAATGAGAAAAGGCAATGAACAGATGGCAACATAGAAATGACACAGATCTTAAAATCGTCTGATAAGGATTTTAAAGCAGTCATCATCAAAGTGCTTCAATAACCAATTATCAATATGGTTCAAACAAATGAACAAATGGGAAGTCCCAGCAAAGATATAGACAATCTCTTCACAGAGACAGAAGATGTAAAGAAAAAACAATTGGAAACATTAGAATTGAAAACTAAAATAACTGAAATACAAAATTAAATGGGTGGGCTCACCAGTGGAATAGAAGGAATAGAGGAAAAATAAGTGAACTGGAAGCGAGAATAGTGGAAACTACCCAATCTGAACAGTGAGAAAGTTGACCAAATAGAAGTGAACAAAGCCTCAGAAATTGGTATGAATATTACAAAATATCTAACACATTGGAATCCCAGAAAAAGAAGGGGGGGGGGGAAATGACTTGAGGAAATCATGATTAGGAACTTCCTAAATTTGGCAAAACATCAAAACCTGTAGATTTAAGAAAGTGAGTGAATCCTAAATGGGATAATCGCCCCCAAATCCACACTAAAACATGGCAGAGTTAAGCTTCTGACATTTAAAGACTGAGAAAAAAATCTTGAAAACGAGAGAAAAGCCACCTTCTCTTTAGGGGAAAAACCCAATTTGAATGACAACAGATTTCTCATAATAAACCATGGACACCAGATGTGCTGCAATGTTTTTCAGGAGCTAAAAGAGAAAACTGTCAATCTAGAATCCTATATCCATCAGAAATATCCCTCAAGAATAAAAGGGGAAATCAAGCCATTCCCACATGGAGGGAAACTCAAGAATGTGCACCAGAAGACCTACATTAAAATAATAGCTAAAATAAGTTATCTAAATAGAAAGGAAATTCAGTATAAGAGAAGGACTCTCGGAGCATCAGAAAAGAACATAAAAAGTAAAACTATGGGTAAATACAATAGGTTTTCTTTCTCTTGAGTTTTCTAAAATATGTTTGATGGTTAAAACAAAAATTATGTCATTGTCTGATGTGGTTCCCAATGTATGTAGAAGAAATATTTAGGACATTTGTAAATGAGGAATGATAAAGATATAAAAGGGAGGTAAACTTTCTATACTTCATTTAGAGCGGTAAAATATCAACACCAGTAGACTGACAAGTTACGTATACATAATATCATATCTAGATCAACCACTAAGAAAGCTATGCAGAGAGATATACTGAAAAATAGTATAGACACATAAAAATGGAATTCCTTTAAAAAATGTTCATGTAACTCACAGGAGGGAAGAATAAAAAAAATAGAGACAAAACAGAGAAGAAAAAACAAAAGTAAATACTTAAGCCCTAAGTATCAGTAATTATACTAAATAGTACATGCAAACTACATGTAAATGGTCTAAATAAGCCTATTAAAAGACAGATATTGGTAGAGTGGGTTAAATAAAACATGACCCAACCTATACACTGTCTACAAGAAACTAAATTAAAAAAAAATGATATGAGAAGATTGAAAGTGAAAGGATGAACAAGTTATATTATGCAAACATAATAAGAGAAGCTATATTAATATCAGATAAAGTAGACTTCAGAGTAAAGAAAATTACCAGGGATATAGAGGGACAGTGTATAGTGCTACATCTTTTGGAACATAGTTTGGCAGTTTATTTTTTCACAAAAAAGAATACCCTAAAATATACTTTACCATATGATGCAGCAATTGCACTCCTCAGCATTTAACCTGGAGAAATGAAAACTTATGTCCACACAAAAACCTGTAAATGATTGTTCACAGA